TACCACATTAACAATAAATACCGGAAAACACAGGTAGGCCATGATCACTCAATGGACCACTCCACATAGTAACGCTGTGTTAGGTATACAATTAATTGCACAAGTGGGATCTGGTCAATGGCCAATAACTTCCATGATTCAGCAAGTTCGTATTGTGATTTATAACCTTGTGTTTTTCTCGAAAGAAAAGTGCCGTGGGATAGTGGAATCTCGATGATTTTATTCACAGATTTTTTTTTTAATGTTTTTCATAAATATATTTTTTAATAATTTTTTATTTCATATACATTAAACTGCTGCAGTATATTTTTCTATAAAAACTCGTTTTAAAATAGCAATTCAAACGCATAATTCTACAGCCCTTCTTATCCAGTTTGGTGGTCAGCAATCAAATTTTGTATCTTTCTTGGTACACCCCAATTTTAAAAGGCCTTTTCTTTTGTTTATGATGGGTAGCTGTCCTGCTTTCATGGCAATTATCGTTCTACATTTTCAACTGCGAATCTTTGAACCTAATTATTGTACATTGTCAGTGAGGGGTGTATCGGCGGTGTGTCATGCTCTAATCCAATCCATCTGTTGCCCCCATACAATTATATGAACGACCTTCGCAAAAATAGTAGTGATAAATAATAAAATCTGGTAGTAATTTGATTTGATCAAAATGTTTCATTATTCGGACGATTTCATTATTCATTATATATCTTGTATACCTTATTATTTTTGTCTCCAAATTTAGTAGGTAACACAAACTTTTAACATGGAATTAGCTAGCGAGTGCTGAGTAAGTTTATTTAGATTTTTGAATGTGCGATAAATAACTTTGGTGGACTGGATTAGTAAAGCCGCATTAGTCGAGTCGAGTCGAGTTGCTTCGTATTTTCCAAAAATTAATGCTCCTCCTTTCGTGATTTTGAATGTAGCACTTTAATCTAAGATTATTTGACAACAATTTGTTTCATGAACTGAATTTTTTCCAGGTCCATTTGAATTTGGACAAAAAACGCTTTGCAAACTATTTCTTGTCTCTTCACAGCTTTAAAGGAACCTTTTTGTTTTTGTTTTTTACAAGCGAAAAGGAATCTTGCTTGAAAAAACAAATCAATATCATCACCGCCAGCTAGTTTTTTTTTTTTTTTTTTCGACACTGTGGGTATCCGGAACCACCCGACTAATCCCACAGCACCCAAAACTTACCGGTTAAGATTGAACCTTGCCCTCACGGGGGTGATCCAGTACTAGTTGTGGTCCTGAGTTCGAATCTTATCCTGGATTTGAACCTTCGTGACTCGCTCGAGGTCGCTGCGTGGGGCCGTGGCACACTCCTTCAATTTGGTGTGCCGGCTCGGATCTTAAGGGTTCGAGTCGGGACATGTTCCGGATTATTTAAAAAAAAAAAAAAAGATTGAACCTCGGTCTATTAGGCAGGAGTTTAACTTCCTAACCATTAGGTCCACAACTTGTGCTTTCTACATTTACCCTTATTTTCACCTCCAACAAATTGGGTTTTTTTTTTTTTACTTTTTTTGGTAAGTAACAAACTTTGAATCCAAAATCTCTTATTTATTATCCTTTTTAATTTATCACTTGACCCAACTCTTCCCCCCTTAACAAACGGAGTTAAATGATGGTGAACGTGTTTTTTTTTCAAATAAGAGTAACTTCTCTTCTTGACAATAAATGTGTAAGGTAGAGATGATAACCATGATTTACTTTTGAAGTGCAAAAAAATTGACAGTTCATAGAGCAAAAATCCCATCCATGTCAAAAGCTCAGGGATTCATGTGGTGATAAAAGAAAGAAATAAGTGAAATTGAATTGTATTATTATTATTATTATTATTATTTTCCGTTTACACGCTTATAAATTTTAAATACAGTAAAATCAGAAAAAGGAAGCAACCTATGAATAATGGAATAATTTAATTTAGAGATATGGGTTTGTTTGGATAGGAAAATTTTTTAAATAATATTTTGCATGTATCAGATATTTATTTTTCAACCAATTATTTTTATATTTTTAATTACTTTTTTATTTTATATACCTCACGTCACAAAAGTGTTACGATTGTTTTACGTCATTTATCAACGTAAAATCCGTAAGCCCCCACTAGCGTTGTATCTGTAAGGCGTAGATAGCTGCATTTCCGTTGGCATTATCGGCTCATGGCGCGATGTTTCGTATTGGAAAAGGTTTGCCTATGAAACTTCCTCGTAAGCCAGCGAGCTCAGCGACACCCATCAAGTAAAATCCGTCACGTCAAAATCTGAAGATTAACCCTATTATGGTACGCGCATACCATATTTATGTGAACTATCAAAAAACTAACAATTAAACAAGCAGGACGAGTGGAAATTATGACAAAATCAGTAGGTGATGATACGTAATTACTCAAATACAGCGCCATCCCTACGCATCCCCCCCCCCCCTCAAAAAAAAGAAAAGAAAAGGGAGGTAAGGAATGTTGTCATACATTTATGGGTATTACTAAAAATGACAAAAGGTGTTGATAGTACTCAAAATCATCACTAGTTTCTCCTAATAATAGGGTTGAGTCTGGATACAACAATTCATTTTACTAAACTTATATCACTTGTACAATTCATGAAAAGTATAAAAATGTTAAGAGTAAATTTTATATACACTATTGCGGTTGGATATACGATACATATATAAAATTTGATTTTTAAATTTAAATTCGAATTATATGTTATGCATCTGATGGTGAAGGTGTATACACTGTCAATGTGTAGAAGATTAATTCAAATGTTAATAATACTCAAACATGATTAGCTTCTTCAGATGTCATAATTGCATATAACCATTGCGACAACCTATCGAACTAAGCGGCTAATTTCTTTGTTTATTGCTGAAAAAAAAATTCGCATAAATGTTGACATGACAGTGGTACAAAGCTATGCTTGCTAAACCCAGTAGGCAAGGAAAATTTTTTTATTTTTAAATGAGTAAGCCCGGAAGCCAAGCAGCCAAACCTTTCTAAGGGCAGCTAGGCCTCAAACGTACAATCAGCTGGCTTCCAATACCAAATGGTCAAAGTTAGAAATTTTTGTACTTAATCCAATAGAAAGAGAATAGGCAACTTCACCGTGTAAAACGATGCCTTTAATAGCAAGGGCAAGTGTTACAGATTTCTGTAAGGACTTTTTTTTTTTTTTTTTTTTTTTTTCTGACGGAGTGGGTATCCGGGTCAATCCTTACGGGGCCCCGACTAATCCCACTCCGGCCCGGAGAGGAGGCCCCACTCCACTCGAGCACGGTGACAAGGGGGCTCGAACCCTGGTTGCCCAGGAAGGTCTGCCATACCCTAAAGAGGGGGAGCAGACCATTCGAGCTGACCCTTGGGGGGCTCTGTAAGGACTGGCTCATGCTATTTTGGACATTCCATGTTCTTTTTTTTTCGGCAGAAAAAAATTTAGGTAGATGCAAGATCAGTCCCTATAGATCGCTTATAGAGATTTTATAGATCAATCATCAATACAATATTTACATTGGCAACAAGATTTGAATATACGATTTTTTATTTTAAAAAAAATGATCGATTCTTATTAATTGAGTCAATTTGTATTAGCAACATTCTCAGTTTATATTCTTGTTTCATAAACACGAAAACAAATTGTACTGGCAAAAAAAAAAGACAAAAAGAGAAAAGAGAAAGAGTAGCAACGAAAACCAAGGAACCAAAAAAAAAGGCAAAAAATGAAGAAGCGTCCAAGATATAGGTTCTTATCTTTAAGGATACATCCAGAAAGTGTTTTAGACTTATATTTTTCCCTTTTGCAATTGAATTTTTGACAATAAATTATTCCAGCTTCTTTATTAGAAGAATAAAATAAGCAAGCAATAAGATACACTAGTACAACCTTTCATTCGAAGAATCAACTCTTGTTGGCAAGAATCACACTAGTACAACACTAATTCGTTAGGGGACCGACGGTTTCTTTTTTAGAAAGGTTTGCAGTGGCTGACGGGCCCAACATTTAAAAAAAAAATAAATTTGCTTTGCCTGCTGATAGGCATAGTTCTGTACGTTCCCTTGTCAAATCAACATTCTTGAGAATATTTTTTTTTGCAATAATTAAAGAAATTAGCCTAACTAAGCATATATTACTTGTATAGTTTGAGCTGGACTAATTTGACGTACAAGATTTACAAGTTAATTAAAATATGATCTATTTAATGAGCGCCTAGTAAGCACTTGTAAAAATAGATTTTAGGTGTTGATATTATACAAAATAAAGTTAAATAAAAAATTATATAAATGCAAGATAAAATAATAATTATTGGTGTGTGCTTCCAAATGATGATTTGAATGTCATTTAGTTTTTTTTTTTTTGGAGAGAATGTCATTTAGGATTACTAATGGGTGCCCAAACAATTTCATCAAAGTATGACTAATTTGATAATTTGACACACTGCATAGCATGATTTTTAAAAAAAAAATTTTCTAGCATAATTAGAGAAATGAGACCTCATCTTATCTAATTAAACTTATATTACTGGTATAATTTGAGTTCGACTAATTTGGTATACAAGTTTTTATTGGCGATTTACCTTTTTCTTTATTCATTGGCAACTTCTACACTAATTATATTTCTACTTTTATTTTTATTCTAACCTATCTGTGTAAAGAAGGGGCTAATTAGGTCAAAAGAATTAGAGAGAGTGATTAATTGATAGTTGATAAAATTCGAACCTTTCAACTTGTGAAAACCAACAGGTCGTTGGATTCTCGTCGGATTTGTTAATGTGATACACGAGTTTTGCGGGTGATTCGTGGACGGAACGAAAAGCTAGTGAAATTACGAGCATACCAAAGAAAGACGTTAAAATCTCAAGAATACCCCTAGAAAATATCGCAAAGCCACACGTTAAAAAAAAAAAGTGCAAATTGCATATCCCAGCTACGTTACGGCTCGCATATCCTCATAACTTCCGCCAGCTGATCATGCTCCTGTTCACTTTTCATCTTCTATAAATAACCCCACGCAGGAGTACCCTCCGCGTTCGCCTAACTGCATCCGGGGAGAAACAGCCTGAGACATTTATAGAGAGAGAGAAGACTAGAGAGGGATAGATATACGGAAATCATTTTAGAGAGAGAAAAGGGGCAGGGGAAATCGATCTATGCAACCGAAGCAAAACGCATCGGTCGGATCATTGATAGAATTGGACCGTTTTTCCGGCGATTATGAGCTGGTTTGATAAGCTACGGTGTTCATCTAGTCTTAGCCGGTTTATCGCCGGCCTTATGCTCTTTCTTTTATATCATTCATTCCAATTAATTTCGAATTTCTTGCTTCCTATACACCCGTAAACTTTTAGTTTTAAGATTATCTTTTAGATCAGAGAAATTTGTTTTCTGTTGAAATTTGGTTGGTGGCGTTCTCGTGAATTTAGCTCAAGTTCATTCGACCGACAAAAAAACAAGAGTTATTGAACTATTTGCCGACTTGTTTCCGTCGTTCACTTGGAATCTCATGGAAGCTACAGATGATGATGATTCTTCTTCTTTCCCCGGCTATTTGCTGGACGGTTCGTATCTTGGAATTTCATTAATCCAAGTCCTTTTTTTTGTTGAATTCTATTTCTAATTTAATTGTGTTTTTATTTGAATGTGAATGTGTGTAATGAGATTCTTGTGAATGATTTCGAGTTTTTTGGTTGATTGTATCTTTGATTAATGCTTGCTTCTGTCTGTTGATGCCATGGATTAAGCTGAGAATTATTGAAGACTTTCTTATTTATTTTAATTTCTTTTTGGCATGGGTTTTTCTTCCCTTGCTTCCAAGTTGTTTGCTTGCAATAAGACGCTCTTAAAATTTTATATTTAGTTTTCATTTAGCTTTTTATGGTGCTTAAAATTCACGTAGCCACACTTTCTGATTTTTTGTTATGCAATTAGCAGGTGCTTTTTCCCCCCGAATTGACAGGCGACAAAGTTCACTCCCTTCTGTGATTGTAATTGGTGGGGGTATTTCTGGGATCGCTGCTGCTCGTATCCTACAGAATGCATCTTTTAAGGTATTTTCTGGTTGATAAGGTATTGTGTTTCCATGTCAGGTGATGCAATTTTCATGTTTGCTTTTCTCTTGTTAAACTTTCTATAATCGTGCAGGTGCTGTTGTTGGAGTCACGCGATAGAATTGGTGGGCGCATACTCACTGACTACTCATTTGGTTGCCCAATTGATATGGGAGCATCGTGGTGAGCTTATTTTCCAATCTTCTTTTGCAGTGTCTGTTTCAGTGACTCTTTGAACTCTTTGTTTCAAAATAGGTGTTAAATGGCTCGAGTTGACTGTGATTAAAATATTTCTTGGTAATCCTTTCTCTCCCTCTCTCCGCATCTGTGTGTGTGAGAGAGAGAGAGTGTGTGTGTGTATTTGCCTCTGTCTCTCATTGTCTCTGCGTTTTTGGGTGCAGGAAAATGGAAAAATAATACTTTTCTAAGACATATGGCTTTTGCATGGAATGTTTTAGTCAGTTGCTGTTTTGTTTTGATACAAAAACCTGAAAATACCATAAGTGGATACTTTACTAACTTTGTTATCTAGTGTTCCAGGCTTCATGGTGTTTGCAATGAGAATCCTTTGGCTCCTCTAATTCGCCGTCTAGGGCTTACTCTTTATCGTACCAGCGGTGACAACTCAGTGCTGTATGATCATGATTTGGAAAGGTAAAATTTTGAGTGCTATACCTTTCTATGTTAAACAGGCTGAACTCTGCTAAGTTAAGTCATTAATCAACTCAAGCTGGCCATCTTGTTCCTTTCAGTTATGCACTATTTGACATCAAAGGCCATCAAGTTCCTCAACAGACTGTTATAGAAGTTGGAGAAGTATTTAAGAAAATCCTCAAGGAGGTATGCTCTTTATTTCTGCAGTGTTTCTCCGTAAGCATTTTATTGGGCCATTCGATGGGTACTGATGCATTTAATTTTTCCCAGACGGATAAAGTGAGGAATGAACACACTGATGACATGTCTGTTTCGCAAGCCATATCAATTGTGCTGGATAGGCATCCTGAACTGAGGTACAAAAATATGTGGTCCTCTTTCTGTTTCTGGATTCTCAATTCTGAACTGTATTATGTATAAATTTGCTTCATCTATGTCTAGACAAGAAGGGCTTGCCCACGAAGTGTTGCAATGGTACATATGTAGAATGGAGGCGTGGTTTGCTGCAGATGCGGATATGATATCTCTGAGAAGCTGGGATGAGGCAAGTTCATGTCTCTCATTGCTTATGCTATTTAACTTTATTTGGTTATGCTAATGGAAATGCAATTGTTGCTATCCCCTTCATCTCCCTACCGTGTCCTGAGTTTATGGCTCAAAACCTAAAATATGCTAATACAGGAACCAATAGCCAAGTTAGTTTGCTAGAACTATCTTCAGTAGATCATACTTGTTTTTATATAGTAATGTTACTGTAAAGATTTTTGAGGTTTTTGTCACCCATTAGTATTTACATGGTTCATGGCATCCAATGTGTAGGAGCAAGTTCTTTCTGGTGGTCATGGTCTTATGGTGCAAGGTTACTATCCACTAGTAAAAGCTATGGCAAAGGACATTGATATACGCTTAAATCACAGGTATGCTGGCAGTTTTCTGTTGCAAAAGAATTCATTGCCCTCTGGACTGTTTTATTGGTACTAAAAATGTTCCATTATGTATCTTCTTTTGTTAAGCTAGTCATGCTGTTGAATGTAATTTCAATGTCATTAAACATGTTTTTGACTTTCTGTTGTTGACTTATTTATCCTAGCTGTTAACAACGCAATTGTTTTGGGGGGGGGGACTACATAAACGAACAACTGAAGCTTGTGATAATTGTAGTAGTACTCTTTTAACAGTATTTTGCGCGGCATCCACGTTTTATGTGATGTTCCTTTTCTTTTTCATTACATCAAGATTGAATTGCTTACCTTATTAATCTGTTCTGAGACATGATCTCAGTTATTAGCTATTCAGTGCCGGAACCTTTGGAACTTTTTAGCAAAACCTTCTCTTTAAATTATTTACGGTTCTAATAGTTTCTAGCTACTAGAAAATTGCTTTCCTGTAATTCTTTGGAATTTGATTCATTTTTTCTGTTGCAACTATTAGAGTTAAAAGGATTGCCAATGGATATAACAAGGTGATGGTTACAATTGAAGATGGCAGCAATTTTGTTGCTGATGCTGTAATAGTAACAGTCCCTATTGGGGTTCTGAAGGCCAACTTAATTGCTTTTGAACCCAAGTTGCCCGAATGGAAACTTGCTGCAATATCAGATCTTGGTGTAGGGAATGAAAATAAGATTGCACTACTGTTTGACAAAGTGTTCTGGCCAAATGTGGAGCTACTAGGGATTGCTGCACCTACTTCCTATGCATGTGGCTACTTTTTGAATCTCCATAAAGCAACAGGCAATCCCGTCCTTGTTTACATGGCAGCTGGAAGGTTTGCTTTTGACCTTGAGAAGCTTTCAGATGAGGCTGCTGCTGATTTTGTAATGTTGCAGCTGAAGAGAATGTTTCCTGATGCAACAAAGCCGGTAAGTATTAATTTAGCATATGATTGTTAGCCTTCATTGTGTTTGACATGTTTACCTTTAACTAACTGCTGATGAAGATATTAGTTTTCATCAAAATAAGGTGTGGAAAAGAACATCACTTATTTTGCAAGCAATTTATGCTGTTGAAGTATTTAGACAGTCGCATTTAGTTTTCACTTAGTTATGGATATGTTGTTGCTGGCATATTAATTGGGAAATAGTGTAGCATGTTCTGATTCTTGGGTCTCTAGATGGTATATCATGCCCATCTTTTTTCCCTTGGATGCATCCAAGAAATCTTAATCCTTGAATTACTAAGAATGTCCGTTGTCCCTTGTCCTACAGGTCAAGTATCTAGTGTCACGCTGGGGATCTGATCCAGACTCTCTCGGATGCTACTCTTATGATTTGGTTGGAAACCCAGAGGACATATATGACAAGCTCCGAGCACCAGTGGGCAATATTTACTTCGGAGGTGAGGCTGTTAGCGTGGATCATCAGGGATCTGTTCATGGTGCCTACTCAGCCGGAGTCATGGCTGCAGAAAATTGTCGCAAACATCTTATGGAGCGACTTGGAAGCGGGGACAAGATTCAGCTCGTCTCTTGCAGGGAGGAAATTCTTGAAGCAACTGTTCCTCTCCAGATATCAAGAATGTGAATCTTCATGGTAGTAGATTTCACTTAAATCTATTTAGGATGCAAGTAACTGCATCCAACTGTATTGTTCCAATCCAATGAAAACGACGTTGTTTACTTTTCGGGATATCTTTTCAATATCAACTAATATTCTTCCGGGTGCAATCTGATGCCTGAAAGATCTTGAGCTGAATTCATTATTGGTTATTCTAATTTATGCATGAATGAATTTTCGACCAGTTGTTCCGATGACCTGAACTCTGTTTATGTAGTAGACAAGATTCTTTTGACTGATTCTATATGGATTACTAGTAAAAACCTATCGTCTTTCCATCTGGGTCTACAGCATCATTCCCTCTCTTCAATTTTTCTTTTTAATGGCGCGATTACCAAACATATTTCTATTTATTTATAGTTGTTTAAACGTAATGGTATGAGTTGTTTAAAAGTTCACATCAGTAAACGTAACAGTGTGAGTTGTTTAAAAGTTTGACATTAGTATCTAAAAAATAGGGTCAATTACATCTACTCCCTTGAAGTTATCCAAACTATAAATTAAGCTCTCAGATTTAGGCAAACTACAGAAAGGGGATTTGGGGCAGGAAAGGTTGATGGTCAAGATTTGGTCAAAAAAATATAAGATTCTGATTTTATTTTATACATTATTTTTCACATCACGTGCGAAACTCACAAAATTTTATTATATAATTACATGTTGTGCAAAATGAATTATATCATGTGCAAACTAAGTTACATCTTATGTAAAATATATAAAATCGATTCGATCGGTTTCTCCGTTGACTGTCCCGTTCCAAATCCACCTCAATCTCCTGACTTCATAAAAAATACACCCTTGCAATTAGGCATGGGACGATAACTTCCCAACTTCAATAATATCAGGAACAATTTTAAATCTCAAACCCTAAACTACCCCTAAAATCCTAACTCTTTTTTTTCCCTCGCCCGATAAACATAACAGTGGACAAGCCTCATCTATCAATATTATATACCGTCTTTACAGACTACAGTGGACACTTTTTTTGCTAGATTTGCCATTAGTTTGGTCTGGATGACATAAGTGCAAGGGAGGAAAATATAATTTGACCAAACTATAAGGCCTATCTCTTAGTTAAGCTAAATCCGAGGGGAGGTAAATGCAATTAATCCCAAAAGATAAGGGGTAAATAACTAAATATTCCTCATTTTAAACTTCCAACAAAAAATTTGCATCCGTGACCAAAAATTCACAGTGTTTTTGAAATAGAATTTTGCGATACAAAATTATTTCTTAAAAAAAAAAAACCCATGGCACAACTACTTTTTTTTTTACTTTTTTTTTTTTTGCCCTTTTCTGCTGCCATTTTGCCTTCAATAGTCATGGTCGGTGGGGAAGAACACAAATCAAAATTGTTCGGTCTAACTAATGTCCCCACAACTCTCACTCAACTCATTAGCCCTCTCACCCGAGCAGCTTTTCGATTAAAAAGTCATAGATTATTTAAGCCCAAAAAGATTCGAAACTCTACCCTCCCTCTTTTCTGTTCTTATCGTCGTCTTCCTTCAAGCTTCACAAGCTTGCCTAATCAAAATTCCATTTCTACGAGACCTTTTAGCTTACCGCGCCACCTCCAAAACGTCCATCTTCTCCGCCATGGCAACCACCGCTCACAATAATCTCAATGCCAAACTCGTAAGCCTAATACCCAAATATTCCATTTCCATAGTTTATAACCGATTTCTTTCTTCTCACTATTTGTTTGAAAATTTTTGGCAGGTTTTGTTAGGGGATATGGGAGCTGGTAAATCGAGCCTAGTCTTACGCTTTGTAAAGGGCCAATTCCTCGAATTTCAAGTAAGTGGTAGTCGTATTTTATACTTTCTTAACCTAATTAAGCCAGATGATGGAGGATTAGATGATTGGAGAATTAATTATATAGGAATCGACGATCGGAGCGGCGTTTTTCTCGCAAACGGTGTCGGTGAACAATTCGACGGTGAAGTTCGAGATCTGGGACACTGCTGGCCAAGAGCGCTACCACAGCTTGGCCCCCATGTACTACAGGGGCGCTGCTGCTGCTATTATTGTCTATGACATTACTAACACGGTACTGTATACCTTTTATTTTTTTCTTTCCGGTGCGTGCGTGATTAGCCATGCATGCATTTAGGCTGTATACAAAGATAGTAATTCTGTATTTGGTTCTTGAATCTCGAGCATTTGATTTAATTGAGGCTGTATTTGGTTTTCTATCATAACTGGAATCGGAATTTGAGTTGTATGATGTTGTAATGAAACCATGTTTTTATAAGATTCCATGTACGTTTCCGTTGGAATGTTGGTATTTTATCGGACTTTTATGACAAGAAACTTGGTATAAATGCTTAATATACGATTAAATTGAGGCTGTGTTTGGTTCTCTATTAGAAATGAAATCGTATAATATTCATGCAAGCTACATTTTCATGGGATAATTTGCCAGTTTCAATTCTGATGAAAAATCAAACACAGCTTCAGCGATAAAGGAGCTTCAAGAATTGAGCTCACTTGAAGCAGCTCACTGAGGAGATGCTAATTTTGAACTCACAATACTGGCTGTAGTTGATAATCTCCTTTATTTTTTAAGTTGAGCATCCTGAACTTGTTTGAATTTTGTGCATAGAGATCGTCGCGAGCATTGTAGACATTTTGCCAGCAAGCTGTTTAGTGTACTCCTTTTTGGTTGTGAAAGCACTAATTCATCTTTGATAGCTATTGTCATATGAGTTTAGAGTTGCAATCAAATGAATTATGATTACCGGCTTTTCCTGGTGGGTTTTTTTAGGTGAATGTATGTGACTACCACATGGTTTGACTGTGGTTACCTTTATGTGACTTTTTTGGAGCTCTTGGCTTGACAGGATTCATTTGCACGGGCTAAGAAGTGGGTGCAAGAACTTCAGAAGCAAGGTGCCCAACATTAACCCTCTTTACTCCTTAACTAGAACATTTAAGAAAAGAACAGATATATGCTTTGATTACAGGAGAGGTCGATAAAAAGAAGATGAATTTAATCAGTCAAGTTATTTTCATCCAACGGAATAATATCTTCCTTGTATAAGGATAGGCCTTTGAAAGTTCTAGTTTGCAGTGACTTGATCATCTTGATTTTGTTGTTGTTTTGCAGGTAATCCGAACCTCGTTATGGCGCTTGCCGGAAATAAAGCTGATATGGAAGATAAGAGGAATGTGACTGCAGAAGTAAGTACAATCTTGTCTTGCCAAAAAATAAGAAGTACTATCTTTTCATAGATTGTGGTTGGTCGTGCCTTCTTTACTGATTTCTTTTCTGTGACTATTTTTTCAAGTTAATATCTAGTTGGTCACTACATTCATGCATCCACTATCATAGTTCCGCTATTTTCTTAATGATATTTACTTCGCACTGCAAGCATAGAGTAGACAAAATAGTGATATTTCGTCCTACATGTTGCTCATGATCCTTCAGAAATAGAGAACCTATCATCTGTGAATTTACAAATTGAAGTGTGGAAGATAACACAATCAAACAACATTGAACGATTTTGGAGGGGAAATATGAAGCTGATTCTTTAACTGAATGCTATGGACCAGGAAGTTACCCACATTATTAGATACACTGCCCATGACATATCCATTAAAATCTTAGGGAAAAAGAACCACGTCATCACTGTGCTATGGACCAGGAAATTACCCACATTATTAGATACATTGCCAATGACATATCCATTAACATCTTCGGGAAAAAGAACCACGTCATTGCTATGTTAGATAGATGAGAAGAAGTTTGTTGGGTTGTTAATTGGATGCATGTTTAGGCTTTTGATCTCCTTGTTCAAAAGAAGAGGATGGGAGTCGATACAATCCTATAAATACATCAGGAACCCTTTTTGATTTGCTCCCCCAATCTACAATTGGTGAAGTGCAAAATCTGTAGTGAAGACGAGGACTGTAAGGTCACCATGGAGACATAATGCTGAGAAACATTAGTTGTACCTTTTTTTTTCTTTTATAGGATTCATATACTTCTCTGAATGATTCAAGCATATCTGGTCTTTGCTTAGTTATCTTTGTCCACGTTTTATGTGGACCGTTACTGCTTGCAACCTTGAACTTGTTGGAGGCTGTGACAGCATCACATGTGGCAGTTTGAAACAATTATATCATTTTACATAAATGTACAAGATCCGTATATGCGATCTTCTCTATGTTGATTGGTTATTAAATTTAGGTTTTGGATGCATCCTTTTTTTTAGGCTTGACCTATTGCTTTTAGTCCTTTCTGGGGCTGGATTGAGATATACTCTCATCCCATTCACATTTTATCTAGGTGAATGTCCTTTGTTTCACTATATGTCTGATTAATTCCAATATCCAATAATAATCTATATTGTTATAATGTCTGGTTCTCTTCTGGCTTTTAAGTCTATTTTTTTTAATGTAGTATGTTTACCTCTCCCTTGCGGATCATTTTACAGGAAGCACGCGTATATGCAGAGGAAAATGGTCTTTTTTTCATGGAAACCTCTGCTAAAACTGCTATCAATGTTAATGATATTTTCTACGAGATAGGTTTGTTCCTTCGTTCTTTTTTTTTTTTAATTGTCTAATTTGTTTCTTTCTCTGGAGTTGGATTTAGTTTTCTATTGGCATTCTTGATTTTTCTTTACTTGTTTTAATTATGAGGAAATTATAAGGCAACTTACATTTAAGTGGATTTGTTGTTGGTCTGTGCAGCAAGGAGGTTACCAAGAGCTCAACCTGCTCAAACCCCTGCAGGGATGGTTCTTGTTGACAGACAAGGAGAAGGGTCCCGAGCTGCAACATGCTGTGCTTAAGAGTGTTGTGATATGTTCCTTTGACCTCAGATGTATTTGTTTCTTAACCTTGTTTATGTATATTTGTAAGGAAGTTATATGATACCATTACCTTATCCTTCATGTAACACAATTGAGTGCATTCCTCATTCCAATTGAGGGGGAGTAGTTTCTGTGGAGCATGTAAAAGATATCATTGATTTAGAGCAAAAATTCGAAGGCCTTTCTAAAGGAAGCATTGTGATTGAGTAGAAAGTTCCCCTGGATCAATCTTTTTGATTTTCGGTTTTTGTTGGATGATTAACTTTGTCACCCTTTATCTGTTGAAGTAATATTCCAGCCTGCAGTTTTAACATTTTCTTTTACGTGGATCACTCTTGTTGAAATTTGCGAGAAATCAACTAGATTGGGACAAATAA